TTCTTTTATCCAACCAGGAGTTGCCACTGTTTAATGCTCCACCTCATTAACTGGTGACAGCGCACTTGAAAGCAATGACACACAGTGCAGGCTCAAGCTTGAACACGCCCGTAGGTGATCATTGGCGTGAGCAGTGGTTTCGTAACAACGTTGAGGTGTGCTGCCTGAAATGCAGCAGGGCAGAAGTGCTGCCTATGTTATTGAGGTCGCCTCTGTCACGCTCGAATCTAGTGGAGGCACCCATGGGCTGATGAAAGGTAGGAGTGGGTACTAGATCAGTCGCATCTTGATTAGCTGAACAGAGCCACGCATTCGGAGTGCTTGCGTCAGCAGTCATCGCATTCAAATGCTAATGCTAGCATAGGTTATGTCTAAATGTAAATGCTCATCTAGAATTAGCAATAGTTTTGAACCTCAAGACTGCCTTTTGCTCCTGCCTACTAATAGCTTGTTTAGGCGTAGTCTGCGTGATTAATAGGCTAACGGAGGCCAAGGATGTAGTGGGATGGAGGGAGATAAGGTGGTTTCGTATACACTGCCCTGTTTTGCTCCATTCTGCTGTGCTCTGTTTAGCTGTTTTGAGATGTGGAGAAAGACGACGTGATATGCTGTGACGTTACGTGGCGGAATGTATTGCGAGGAGAGCCTCGCGCGTCTCATACTTTCTCTCCATGTGTGTGCAAGCAACCAGTCGTAAGATGCGTTACCTCCTGCATCCTTCTTTTCTATCATGGCTATCACGAATATGGCGGCAATCCTTGAGTCAATATGGCATGAGGCCGACCCCAAGGCGGGATTGGGCAAGTTTACAACACCTGTCCCAGATGTAGAAATAATGGTGATTCCATTGGTCATATATCCGGAATTGCTGCAGAAATTAGACCTCATGGGGCAAATATTGCACACGATCTTAGCTCAGTAAGCCTCACGCACCTTATTAATCCACTGCCACGGGTAACTCTCACTTGATCCCCCACCACCACACAACCGCTACCTAACAGCCTCCATCGTAGCCCTCCATCACACCGCTCTTCACAGGGGTAGTTAACATAAGCTGTGGAACTCAAAGGGGAATTATGAAGATCTCTTAAAAATTTTAAATACAAGACGTTTTCGTTTGCATGTCAACAAGAGTTGTAAGCAGTGCATTGCTTTGTATTAATGTTTGAAATCCTCTTGAAGAACCATGAGCTCCTTATTTCCTCAAAAACCTAAAAGGGAGGTCATAAAAATCGGCACCTACGTAAGTACTTCTTGTAATTAGTGAAGAAGAGTTTTTATTCTGACAATTTTGTTTGACAGCATGTGGTTAGACCACCGTCGTGGGAATAATTCAAAAAAACTAATTCACTATTGAGCCAGCACTGCTTTTTATGCCCTCTACCTCAGACTGTACGTGTGC